CACTTGATAATGACCGTATAAATAGGTCGAAAATTCGTGTTTTAATAAATATTTTTATTAATAAACTCTTAATCATGTTAAACAAAGTTAAGGGTGTTTCAGCCGCAATTGCACTAAACTTCATATTCTTATTTTTAGAATTCCAAACAAGTTTTCTCTGATTCTGCATGAAGAACTGTAGAAATCTAAACATGGGATCTTCAGAAACAGAAATCCTCTCAAAATTTTCTCGGAAAAGTGCTGACAACTAATACCCTTACTTCATTCTAATCAGTGCTATTCAAAAAGTCATCAGACCAATTTCTGATCATTTTCCTTAATTCAATACGAAAGAAAACTTAGATATTCAGAGGGAAAAGCAAACTAACACGAAAAACACCATCCCAAAACGATGACGAATCCAACTCGCCAGACATCACATGCGTACAAAATCCATGAAGTACCTAATAGAAATGTACTATATGTTCTACATCCTCCCATAGAACACCAGCACAGATAAAATCCCACGTAACCCTTCTAAGAACAACATCAAAACAAATACAGCAATCCCTCACGTCAGCTGTCGCAGGCTTGCAGTCGCCTCAAACAAAAGTACGAAACAAACAAACCAACACATTTAATTGTGACTGCATCAAATCATGAAAAAATCGCGTCCCTGTAGCTAACACGTGGAAAAAACGACGCAATGCAGTCAGTTCCTAAGTAATCGACTATGACGCATCCGATGGGTGTATACCCATGTCTTCAGAGGATCTTCAAAAGATCTTCATCGGAACTTCAGAAAACCTTTTCATAAATATTGAGATTTGAAGCCGACACAAAAGACTTTAATCAGAAATTGACTATGGCGCATCTAACAGACATATGCTCAATCTTTCACCAGAACGCTCTTCGAGAATCTTCAGGAAACCATTTCATTAATATTAATATTTAAAGCAGTGTAAAAAAAATTTGACCAATAGTACTGCTTCTATAGCGGCCGCCCATAGTGGTTTTCTGGTTCACCGTGTTCGATAACCTACACCATATCATTTTTATCCCATCACATTGAAAAAACAATTCGGCCAATCGATTTGCTCCTAAAGGTAGCCTATAGCCATTTTCTGATTCGCCATATTCTATTGTCTACGCTCTCTCATTATCAACAATTAGAACCTTAAACTTTATTAGTAATTGTATTTTGATACTATGCGTACGCCGACATTTATTTCAGATGACGCTAGACCCTCAGTTATTTCTTAAAATCATGAAAAGTAATCTTAAGATGAACCCCAAATTTTGCATATTCGCTTAAAACACAAAAACATGATCATCAATCCATGTGTCATCAAATATTTCACTAAGAATGGGTCGAAATGTGTCATGAATCATTTGTTCTGAACCACATAATAAAATAACTTTTTCATCATTTGTTATGTCTGTATTATTGAACGGAAATAAATTTGATTTGATTTCATCTTTGTTAATTCGTCGTCGTTCGCCATCTCTTGAGAGTACGTATCGAATACGTAGACGATCATTTACCATTGATTGTAATTCTTTGTGCAATAGAATATTATATTTTGTCTGACTACCATAGATGAGCGACACGAATGGCCGTTGATTATTATTATCTTCATTGTATATATATTGAATTATCTGAAACATTGGTGTTATTCCCGTTCCTGCACACACCATTCCAATCTCTTTGGCAAAGCCTTTTTTCTTGCCAAAATCAGCCAAATATTTACCAGCACCTTGATAAACAAAATTGCCTCCCAACGGTCCCCGAATATCAATTTTATCACCTTGCTGAAGAGTGTCAAGATATCGAGAAAATATTCCACCATTTTTACTGCCATAAACTTTAATAGCGAGATCAAATGAACCAATACGATTAGGCGGAGATGATGGAGTATAAGCACGAATAATCGTTTTTTTATCAATTTTTGCTTTCAGTAGAATATGATTACCAGCTGACAGACCGAGTGACACCTCTGGATTTTGTAAACGAAATTTTAATTGACGATGGTCTTTAGATAGTGAAACTTTTTCTTCCAATGTGACTGACTGCCATTGAGTTATAGATGAAGAAGTACAAGGTGTATTATTAATTGGAACTTGCGATGATAGTAAGTCTCCTATGTAATATTTTTCTAACATTTGATGAGCCTTTTTTGAGTGTATTGCATTAAATTCATCACTACAATCAGTTCCACCATTCAATGTTATACTATCACCACCACCGGGATGTTCACTGAGAAACGGCGTTGGATTATAAACTTTGTTGTCAATTATTATCCAACAATCTTGATTCGTGTTGTGTGTGGAAACTTCGTTCATTGTAAAAAATTTTGTTCCTGTTGTTACCGTTTTCGTTGTCTTTTGTTCTTGGAACTGTTTCTTTAACCATCCATCACCCGTATTGTTTCCAGGTACAGTAGGATGTTCAAATTTTAATGTCTCATTGTCTATACGAGAGATTTTAACGCTAAAGTAACAATTATTCATCATTCCCATTATGTTCCATGTCAATGATTGAGGCTGTGAATTTTGTGCCGAATCCCAAGCGCGAACGATTAATTCTTGACAATGAATCAAACGACGAGTTTCAACTGGAAAACTCCAAAATACCCAACACCAATATCGTGGTCGAAAATACAAATCGTTTGTATTCGATTCACAGTCTAATTCAGGATGTTTGATATTTGTCAATTCAAATGTCAGTCCTTCATCAAACGATACCTCTACACGAATTACTTTTCGATTTCCGCCCTGAAAATAACGCAACATTTAACCATATGAAGTTCACCTACGGAAGTCCTAGAGTGCATCATACAAATGTTCTTTCTCATCAAAAACGAATATCAAAAAGAGATGAACAGATCCTCGAAACAAAAAATTCTCCTGATAGAGACGGTGCGAGAATGTATCTAGAACTGGCGAGACATACATTATGAAGTGAATCCTTCTTCTCTGAGAAGTCTTGAGAATCGATAATCGTCAAACCTCTCTGGAAATTCTCAATATGTGATAAAGTAGGTAAGGCTGTGAATTATCTATTGCGTGTATTGTTTATAAAGTAAATCAAAGCAACGTGGTCTTTTTATCATACACATTTTTTTGGACATGTAACGTAACTAACCGAAACGAGGAAAACTTCCATAACAGTTAATCACTGTATGGGACAAAGAGTAGAGGAGAAACTATTCGCAAATCACTCAGTCACGCTGTGTAACTAGTGTACACGGAGTCTGGCTAAAACAAAACACAAAGAGCAGTGACTCATCAACTGAATTTTACATAGGGAGTAATCATTATGGGCTAATTTTTTCATGTGAAAGTGAACTGCTTGAGGATATTTCCTAAATTCTGGCATGATTTCGGGCCTAGCATGGTTAATAATTCGTTCTGATATTAAAAGTAGTGTTAAACTTCAATTTTCCACTGTCTTTGACGAAAACAATTGTTTGAAACCCTTTTCTGTCACTAAAACAACGTCGATGCTTCCGCTAACCTGAAGTTGTCTGTGAACGTTGAGGTGAGAGATCTCTGCCTTCTCAGAGAAAGATAATTATCGAAGTTCTTGAAGCGGATTCTCGTGTATAAAGCATCGAAGAAAACTGAACTTTTTGTATGAAAGCGAAAATGAAATCATATGGGCTGACAGAAACAAATTTTCAAATTAGGCTGTGAATTCAGAAGAAACTGAGGTTTTCAGAAACACCTTTTCTTGGATTTTCGGTTTTGTCAACTTCTAAATTCAATGAAAAAGAAATTTAAGCAAAATTTAAAAATCGGCTTCAGGTCTTTCTGGATTTTCGTCGCTTTGATTTGAAACTATGCCGACATATCTCTAGTTCATCCTGACAGAAGATTTCTTGAAATACTCATACTTTTGTCCATGTTTTACCCATACTTTCAGAAATGAAGAACCAGGCTGAAACTTGTCCAGAGTTGATCGGATGGAATATGAAAAGCTTTCTCTATGTAGAGACCCTTCTATTTTTCGTTTTTGATAGCTCTTTTTGAGCAGAAATCTTCGCTCTTAAATCATGTGTATTCAAAACGGTTTCGAAAAAAGAATTACACAAATAAGAAAGAATTTTAAAAAAGCCTGGGCTTGCCGTTAACATAAAGCTTTTCTGACTTTCACATACTTGTTTATTGCGCCGCTATCACATTCGTGGAAAAATTCTTAACACACATTCTGACAGAGCTCAAAATTTTGATTTTAGCCTGCTTCTTGGATCTGTAGAAAAGCTTTATCGAAAAATGAACGAACATTTTTAGTGGAAAATTTGTGGGCACCACTATTATCCTTTTTTCAGACTGAATCTTCGTAAAGTTGAACTTTCAGTAGTCGAGATTTTAGCGTTCCAATTACGAACTATTCTTGTTAGACGGGGCAAAAAATCATCCTCCGCTGACCGCTGGTACAAAATTTCGGTATTTCACCTCGCTTACAAACAAACAGAGGCTATATCGCGAAATTAGATGACCAGTTCCAATGTCCTTGGGGGAAAAGGCGGCTCCTGGAGCTTTCCGGAGCCCGTAAAATGCTTTCCGGAGCTTGAGATGCTTGGCATCGGATGCTCTCCGATGCTAAGAAAGAAAAAGTCGCCTTTTCCCCCTTGCCAATGTCTCTAAGAGCTGGAAAATTAACGCATTTTCCTTTTAACTTTTAATACCTCTCTGAGAGCTCGAATGACAGTGGCAAATCATCTGCAATCAAAAAGAACATTTGAGAATACCTACTGTATAAGCATAACCCTGAAGTGTATAAGTATCGTCGGGCTGTTTGATAGTTAATAGTTCATTGTGATGTGGTGATGTAATGACAGAATTAATATTTAAATTCATAATTATATAATCGGGTTTGTACCACCATCGTTCATTCTCGGCAATATCAGCATCAATAACATGTGCTGGTAAAACACGATTGTCATGATAATGAAGATAACTAGATGATTCTGTTTCTGTTACTTCAATTTTCTTTAACCATTTTACCATTCGACCCCCGATACAGCCAGGTATAATCATTCGAACAGGATAACCATGGTCAGGTGGAAGCCGTTCTCCGTTCATTTCATATGCAATCATAACATCCATTTGCTCGTTCAGTGCATGACCAATCGGTATACTTGTTCCATACGTGCCATTTGGCAATTGTTCTACACCTTCGAAACAAACCCAACGAGCCTGTGATTTGATACCACCGACAACAAGTGTCAAAATATCTTTTAACAGTACACCCTTCCACATTGATGTTGAAACAGCAGCACTGCCCCAATTGAAACCGATTGTCTGACGATACATATTTTGCTCTTTACGACGATTACCAGCACATACCAATGTGACAGGAATAGTTTGTGATGGCAACGCGACAATATCGGTTATCGAAAGTTCAACTTCACGGTTCACAAGTCTAAAAGAAATGTATTCGTCAAGTTTCAGTTGATACAATATATGTCTGAAGTCGACTACGACATAAATGTTCAAAAGAACTGGAATAGGTCATATCAGAAACGTTTCCATAGTTTTCTATCAAAAGAGATTAATAAAATGACTTTTTCTGATCACTGTTTGGCAAATGTCACATAAATATAAGGACTTCTACACAGAAAAAGCGTTTTATATACTATCCGCTCTGATGAAACCTCCGACGAATATTCATCATATCAAGTTACCGAGACCGATTTCAAGTTTTGCTTAAAGGTACCCTCTGCTTTGAAAAACGTTTTGCTTTTAAGCTGACCATATCTAACGGTAGAGGGAAGTCTGCGCTACAAAATGAGATCGCACCCAGCATCTCATGGCCTTCTTTGAAAAGTTATGAATTCTTTAAATTTTTCCTTCCAAGCCTGAAAAAGCTCAACTTTTAGTTTCATAAGTTTTTCTCCTTTCTCGTACATTCGAAACTTTTTCTTATGCATATTCGGAAAAGTGTTCCCTTAACAATGAGATATCTTCGAAATTGTCCAATGACTTTTCGAGGAGGTATAATCTTTGCAGCCAATACCCTTGAAAAAAAGTGATCTGTGTAGAAAATGAGTTTTTCTTACTATGTGCCCTTTTTCAATAGTCACTTCAATCCAGTCACGTTATGACCCATCGACAAAATGTTCCGATCGAGCTGGAATTTTATCACAGATACTTTAGACCCTATCTCAGGTTCTAAATAGTTTTTAAGCGTTTTGGATTTCAACTTTCGAAGGTTTTGTCGAGAAGGAAAGCATATTTCTCAAAACGAAAAATTGAGAACCTGAGATAAGGTCTGAGGTATCTGTGAGAAAAATTTTAGCTCGACTGGGTTTTTTATTATATTCTGAAGCTGCCAAAATCGAAAATCCAAGAAGGGAATATCTCTGAAAACTTCAGCTTCTTCTGAATTCCAATCCTAACTGAAAAATCTAGACACAAAAAAATGGAATTCACTTTATGATCACTTGGTTATTTTATTCATTGTTTAACCTTTTTTATTCTTCATCGCTCGTTGGCTTAATCTATGTATAGATGTCACTTTCGTCTTATCACTGTATTTGTGAGAGAACGCATAGTATGCATGATTAACTACTCTCGCTCTCTTTGCGACTGATAACCGGTCTCGCATTCCTAAGCTTTTACACAAAGGTCCGTTTGAGATGAAAATAAAAGATTTTCATATTTATCCGGTGTTAATCTCAATGTAATTCAGACGAACCGGTTTTGAAAAACCCACAGATGCATAAATTATCAGAAACTGACTCTTCATGTATCACTCTCCACGATATAATATTTGGATTATTATATAATATAATAACTTTTATCTACGAAATTTTCTAAAACGACTTTTGAGTAAAACATGATATAGATCCAAGTTTCATCAGTTTTTGATGTACACGCATTATTTAATTTATTTAGCCATTCAATTCAGTAATTCACCTTTTTTTGCTTATTTATGGGTGGATGCGTGGCACGAGATGTCTATTACGAGAACATTGTAATTCTGAAGAAAACTATCAAATCTGTCATTCGTATTTAACATATTTTTTGTTTCAGTTGCTTCTAAGGCAAATATCCATAATTGGAAATTAATGCGAACTAATTTAAAAGAGTCTCATATTAAATTAGTTCGGATTAATGTTTTTCTGATTAAAAATCAATTTAAATTAATTTAACTTGATAAACTAATTCGAACTGAATTCAATTGGCCTGAATTAATTTATCAAACGAAATTAATTCAAATTGATTTTTAATCAGAAAAACATTAATCCGAACTAATTTAATATGAGACTCTTTTAAATTAGTTCGCATTAATTTTCAATTGTTTCTGAAAGTTCCAGTGGATAAAAACTTTAAAATCTGCATAAGGAAAAAATCTTTGCATTCGCATGCCAAGTGGCAACATACTTCTTAAGTACGTACCTAAATATTTATACTCTCAATAAATAGAACTTACACGATGTGGAACCGTTCTAAATGTTCGGCAAAACCGAACGGTAGAGATTTTCTTCTGGGATTCCAGAATGATAACTGAATGGCCGATTTGTTCAATTTTTTCTCCCCATAAGAAACCCCAGAGAATGTACTTGGGCCACACTACTTGGGACAAGTACTCCGCTCGCGTAATGAAGTCGGTACTTTTTTTTCCGTCTTTTTTCCAGAAGTAAATTTACGTGTAACTACTTGTCCAGTGTGTAAGTACTTGATTTTTCAATTGACAAGCACTCGTTCGAAATATAAAGTGTTCGATTAACTCTTTAAAAATCCCTCTTAAAAAATTAACTTTTTAAAAATCCCTTGTGATTTTTTGCTCAAACTAGAAAATCCTTCTCTACTTGAAAAACCAAAAACGATGTTTCCCTAAACCAAATGGGTTTAGGAAAAAACCTTCTGATTGTTACCAAAGCTAGAAAACCCTTCGAGACTTTCTAAAAAACATTCTTCAGTTTTTTGGTCAAACAGAAGAACACTTTTGGTTTTTAAATACACTTTTTTCGGTTTAGGGTGATAAAAAAGCCCTTACTTGTCAAGCTCTTTGACCAAGTACTTCTTAGCACTAAATGGAAGTATTTTTATCATTGAGAAGTACTTCTGAAAGCACATCGTAAGTGAGAAATTTTGAAAACACTTGCTAATTTTTCATTGTCATTGCATAAAAATTGAATTTTGGAGATAAAAGGTGAATGAGAAAACGCGCAAAGGTAAAAGTATGGGTGTCAATTGTTTTGATCACCAAAAAAAGATACCTTTGATCACCAAATTTTTTAGATACAAATGATCACCAAAGAAAGATACTTTTGATCACCAAATTTTCCAGCATCACATTTTTATACATATAAACATATAAATTTTAACA